CTGTTTTCATAGGAGAGGTGCTCCAGCTCTTCTATAGTCTTCACTGCCCTCCTCTGGACTTGCTCCAACAGGTCCTTGCCCTTTTTATGTTGGGGCCCCAGGGCTGGATGCATTATTCCAGGTGGGGTCTCATGAAAGATGAGTAGAGGGGAAGAATAACCTCTCTTGACCAGCTGGTCACACTCATTTTGATGCAGCTCAGTATATGCTTGGCTTTCTGGGCTGTAGGTGTACATTGATGGGTCATGTTGAGCTCCTCATCAACCAACACTCCCAAGTCTTTCTCCTCAGGTCTGCTCTCAGTCCATTCTCTGCCTAGTCTGTAGTTGTGTCTGGGATTGTCCTGATCCAGGTGCAAGACCTTGCACTTGGCCTTGTTGAACTTCATGAGGTTTGCATGGGCCCACCTCTCAAGCCTGTCAAGAGCCCTCTGAATTGCATCTGTACCATCCAGTGTCACCTCCATCACACAGCTCAGTGTCATCGACAAACTTGCTGAGGGTGCACTCAATCCTGCTCTCCATGCCACTGACAAAGATGTTGAACATTGCTGGTCCCAGTACTGACTCCTGGGGAACACCACTCGTCACCAGTCTCCACTTGGACATCAAGCTGTTAACCACAACTCTTTGACCATCCAGCCAGTTCTTTATCTACCAAGTGGTTCATCCATCAAATCCGTGTCTCTCCAATTTAGAGACAAAGATGTCATGTGGGACAGTGTCAAATGCTCTGCACAAGTTCAGGTAGATGATGTCTGTCACTCTTCCCTTACCCATCAGTTCTGTAACCCCATTGTAGAAGGCCACCAAATTTGTCAGTCATGATTATCCTTAGTGAAGTCACATTGGCTGTCACCAACCACCTCTTTATTTTTCCTGTACTTAGCATAGTTTCCAGGAGGATCTGTTCTATGATCATGCTGTTCACTGAGGTGAGACTGACCGGCCTGTCGTTACCTGGGTCTTCCTTTTTTCCCTTTCTAGAAATGGGGATTATGTTTCCCGTTTCCAGTCAGTGGGAACTTCACGAGACTGTCATGACTTCTGAAATAGGATGGATAGTGGATTTTGCTTGAATTTCATTGAGTTTTTACATTCAGTTTTTGCTGTTTTCTTCATCCTTTGTTTCTTGCCGTCTTTCTAGGATGTTGGGCTGTACTTCAGTTGCCCCCTGATGCAGGACTCTGTAGGTCCTGGTAAAATAGCAGTCCTTCCTCAGTGAGTCAGCTTTCAGCAGTCTTGAAGTTCACTGTTGGATGGCTTCTCCATGAACATGAATGCCAAGATCTTGATTTCAGTGTACTTAAGCATGTACTGAATTTTAAGCGTGTGGCTTTGTATTTTGCTGGATTGCATAGTAAGAAAGGTCAAGATATTAATTGACTGGTGGATAGTGGCCCCTCCACGGTATTGTACAAAACATTTGTGTTCATAAGGTAGTTTTATCTCCTGACTCTTTGAATGTTTAATCCAGTTGCTGAAGTGAGAGGTACTCAATTAAGTCAACCACTTGGTGCGGATGTGTGATGTCTGCTGATTATCTCAGGTCATCATGGAACAATTCTTAAAGATTTACATGTATAGAAAATGGGTTGATCATGATTGAAGCAAAACAGTCTTTGCAGGGGAGAAAAGGGTCTTTTTTATCAAATGATTAAGTTTATATGGTGATGCAGTTTTTGACTCTAATATTTGAGTACTTCTCAGGTGCATTGCAGTGATGTTCACCTTGTTGATGTATTCTGGGAGTTGTTCTGGGAGAATCTGTTTAGGAAACAAATCAAATTATATCTTGGCACTTGATTCCATCACTGGGCTTGATTTAACTTCTCTTCTGCTATAGGGGATCAAATGTCTCTGACGGAAACGTGAAAATCATTGCAGTTCAGCCTCTGCTGCCCTGATATTAGTAAAGGGGAAGGATGCATCCGTCCAATTTCTACATTCCCTTTCTCATGGCCTCCATATGTTCTGTCCCCTTTCTTGCCTCTATTGTGAATAAATAAAATGTCTGAGAAATAAAGGATGGATGTTTTTAAGACATGTTTAAATTAGCTGGATCCAGAATTGCAGTATGGCAGAGGCAGGCTGGATGAATAATGTATCTTATTAACAGTAAAAGAAACAAAAAGACAAAACAAGCAAATAACCCTCCAAAAGCCCACCAGCCTTCCCTCATAGAGATCATAGAATGGTTTGGATTGGAAGGGACCTTAGAGATCAGCTAGTTCCAACTTGCTGAAGTTGAAGGCCAGGGACACCTTCAACAAAACAAGGTTGCTCCAAGCCCCATCCAACCTGGCCTTGAACACTGCCAGGGATGGGGCAGCCCCAGCTTCTCTGGGCACCCTGTGCCAGTGCCTCACCACCCTCACCGTAAAGAATTTCTACCTAATACCTGATCTAAATCTACCCTCTTCCAGTTTAGAACCATTCCTCCTTGTGCTATCACTTCATGTCCTTGTAGAAAGTCCCTCTCCTGATTTCTTGTAGGCCTCTGTTAGGTACTGGAAAACTGCTCTAAGGTCTCCACAGAGCTTCTCTTCCCCAAGCTGAAAAAGCCCAACTTTCTCAGCCTGTCATTGTAACAGAGATGCTGCAGCTCATTATGTTCTTCATGACTTCCTCTGGACTCAATCCAACAGGTCCACAACCTCTTACGTTGGGGGCCCCCCGAGCTGAACGCAGTCAGCTATAGCTCTTCCCACCCAACCCTCGCCCTTTCCAGTCAGGAGCTTTTGATTCATGTGAAAGGAAGAGGTGTCTGTTACAAGCGTAACTGCAGTAGTGAACTGGTACTCTGGGCCAAGCCACTCTGTGACTCTCTTCTGGAATTCCTCTTTCAGCAGCAGGAAGATCAAGACCTGCCCCCAGTTAGAAAAGTGACCAGCAGCGTAAGATGGAGGCTGCCTTTTTTGACCATAGATTCACCCTTCTTGGAGCCTTGGAAATTACATCTAGGTTTAGTAGGGTTTGTGCATTGAGCTCAGGATGTCTGGATGGGCCGGTATGGGTTAGGAGGGGGTTGTAGCATGAGTGTGTTTTCCATCACTGTGCAAGCTGGTGACTTAAAATCTGTACATGGTGAGAACTTCACTGAGGGTTGAGTGTGGGGAGGAGAAGCCTTTTGGAATAATGAATGGAATTGGATGTGGGCGGAGAGCCTGAGCTCTGCCTGGGAGAGTAATAAGTGAGGAGGAGAGGAGGCTGCTGGACCTGACCTGACATTTCAGTGGTGTGGGTTCGTCATCTCAGACCTCCTCATCTGGTCACATAAGCTCCTTCAAGTGCTACCTTTAAAAATAGGAATTCCTCTTCCTGCAGCCTAGGCTAACTCTATGGGTTTGTCTATTATTTTTTAGAAAGGGTTAGGAGAAATAAAGAGCTCATAGCTTCCTAAGTTCAGTTTTATTTGGTGTGGCTCTACTGATCATAAACTTATGTCACAAAGCTTTCTAGGGGACAAGAAGCTTTTTTATGTGTGGTTGCTGTTTTTGGTTAAAATGGGTCGCATGCTCAGGAATGCAGTCAAATTATAATGGTGACTAAGTGCTGGAAAGCATAGAAAAGGGGAGGGACGGGTGAGCAGAAAAAAAAGGAGCCTGAGGCTAGGGAAGGAAGGCTGGGAAAATGAGAATCTGGCCAGACCCCAGGGCCAGGTTAGAGATTCCTACACCCATTAACAGCCACAGGATATGTTTATTTACAGAGAGGTAATCTTTGTTTTAAAAATGACAGAGTGTCCCCAGATCCCACTTTTGGGAAGTGCGTTGAGGGCATAGTAGGGATAGGAGAAGGGAACTTGTTCTGATCAGGCACCAAGACCCACCTCTCAACGATCTTCCCTTCATCCCTATACATCTGAGAACATTGGATCTTGAGAAATGAATGGAGGATAAACTTTTATAATCTAGTCAGTGGTTCACAACCCCTAGTTACAAAGCATAACTTCAAGAGTTTCTTCTTGTACTTTTCTGATCTTTCCTACCTAAGCAGCTCCACCAAAGATATTGAATAATGAAGTTTATGATATGAGAAAGATGGGAGTTAATGCTGTCTTTTCCCTCCCTCCCTCCCTCTTTAATCCACTCTGGATCGTGAAGGCAAGACAGATGTTGAGCAGCTGCTTGAACTGAGTATGTTTATGTAGACTCTGAGACCTTGGTCCCAGGTCTTGGTGGTACCTACCTTTTGTCACCTCTTGAGTTGTGCTGATCTTGGCTTTTCCCAGCTTATCCCAATAACTTTGACTTGTATCCCAGCAACTGCTTATTAAAAGAGAGACTACAGTTCATAAGTTTGTCTGACTGTGGGTAAAGAATTTTCCAGCAGTGTGGTGGAATTCTCTATCCTTTGGTGAACTGCTGCAAAAGAAAGTCTATCTTGGGGCATGTGTGCATCAGGTGGTTGGTTATACAGATGAATGAATTTTATTTTTATTTTGAACATATCGTGATTTCTACTTCTTGTATCTGGCTATGTGATTGTCAGGCAGGTCAGGGTCTGGAGCAGTTTCTTTACTGGTCTTCTGTCTAGACACACTCTCCTGGCTTCTAGTTTCAATGTTCTGACTAGTGTTTCCTCCATCTGTTCGTGTGTGGTAGTGTCCATTTGTTAACTGGTTTAATTTAGTTTCTATTTAGAAAAGTGATGTCCTTTTTCTCTGGTTGTTCTGGTAGCTTCATTCCATGTTGTCTTGCTTTGATTACGTTTTGTGTCAACCTGTGTTGCATTTGGTGTACTAGATAGGTCTTGATCAGATTTAAGGCTTGTACACTAATGATCATCAGGGATGGCTTTCCATGCTGAAAAGCACCCACCCTTCTCAGTTTTCCTTTCTTGTCAACTCTTAGGAGTTTGCTTACTCTAGTGTGGCTCAGGCACCACCAGTGTTTGCCTGCTCATCATTTGTGGAACCTGTGACCAGCTTGAGTGCATTTGTTGTTCATACAGCATCAGTCCCAGTTGTTAATCTCATCTCTCTTCTTCTGTCTGCAGAGCGCCTGGCATTCCAGTGAAGGAAAGGGTGAAAGTATCTCAGAACTGGAGTCACGGACGGTGCCGGAGGGAGACAGTCCTGAAATGGAAATGCAAGCAAGTGGCTCCTTTGTCTTCTGCTTTGTTCTGTGTCAGCTGCTGTCGGGTCTTGGGTTTTTGTCTGTGCCCTGAAATGAGATGTTTCCTGCTCCTTGTAAGACCTTGTGGATCACAAGTGATGTTGCTGGCCTGTTTTGGGTGTTGCTATCTGGATGTGGGGTAAAAGGAGTTTCTGTCTTGCCCTAGAGATTCACTCTGAGAATTGAGAGTTACTTTCTTACTAAGAGCTTGAATTTGCCATTATTCTGATCTGTGCAGTTCTAGCTGGATTTAGCAATCTTTACTACAGGCTTTAAGCTGTTATGTTCCTATCTGTTGCTGTATGCCATGGCAGTTTTCTGTCCTGCTCTCACAATGAGCATACCTTGATCCCAAATGTGAACTTGTGTCCCCTCAAAATACTTGCTTTGTCTGCTGTGCTTTATCATGGCCCCTGATTTGGCTGTACAAATCTGAAATGCTAATTGCTGTTGTTCTACTTTATGCTTCCTCCTTCACAAAAAAAAAGTATATTTGACATTAGTGAGAGGAGATTGTTGTTAAATTCTTTCTTGCAAAGGTGTACTCAGCTTTCAAAGCAAAGCATAAGGTAGGTCCCTTGTCTGCACAGCACATCTACATTTTCAGCCTTCACATCATCAGACAGTAGATAAAATGAGCAAGACTGTGGTTTGTTAGCTGCTGAAGAACAGGGACCTTCTACTGAGCTTTTCATGCTTTTTGTGCTATGTAGATTGAAGTGGAGGATAATGTGCCACTGCTTGTCTAAAGTCCTGGGAACAACTGTAATGAGCAGAATGGGTTTTGGTGCAGGTTGTATACCTGCCTTTGAAGTGCTTGCAACCATCTGTGAAGACAGGCTCTGTGGATATTAGAGATCATTACTAAACCAGCTTCCCAAGTGAAAAAGCAAGGACTGATTTAATGAGGCCACCATCTGAATGGCATCCTCTAATTTTCATTTGTCCTGCTTCAAATCTGTTGCTTCTCCTTACGAAAAAGCCATAGAAAAAGGTAAAAAGCTAAACTGCAGCAGGAGGAGAGCCACAGAAACTGGCTGTAGCCTAAGTAAGCTGGATATTCACTTGCTTTTAGAGGACTGTGTAGGAGTGGAGGAAGGAAAAGGAAATCAAAGCTTGCCTAAACCCAGAGCTTCTGCTCCAGAGATGCCTTTTTCTTTTTCCATGCATATGATCAAGTCCCAGATGAACATTATAGCCTATGTTCAACTGCTTTATGTGACTAAAACCCTGTTATTGGAGATAAATGCAGGCGAGCAGGAGCCTTCTATTTGATAAGTAATCTTGTCCTCTTGCTTGTTTCTGGTTCTAAATTGTGATGTTATGTGGAGTGGCTATGTGTAATGACTCTTCTGACAAAGAAAACTGTGACCTCTGAGAATGAATGATCTGCAAAAAAGAGGGATACAGCTTTTTGAGAAGCTTCCCTGCTTTCAAAACAGTTTGTTCCTGAATAGTTTGAAAATTGAAAGACTGCTCTGTGGAAAGGCTCTGATTTTGCCCAAAGTTTGCATGGGTTATTGGTGCACTCAGCAATGTCTGCAGAGCGGAGGCAATTTTACACATCCATGCCCAATAGGACACAAGCCCCTTGTCTCTCTGGATATGGCAAGGCCAGATGCAGAAGGCATATTTGCTGATTCTCTGGTGCTTAAGAACAAAGTGCTCTCTGCTCAAATGTGCAGTATAGCCTGTTCTGTTTTCTGTATTTTGATTTTGTTTCAAGAATAAATAAACAAAACTTTGATGACAGACTTGATTCAGACATTGCTGGAGTGTCTCCTTCTTGGTCTCCCAGGAAGTGAAGCATTTCTTCCCCTTGTAATTTCAATCTTCAGAATACTTTGGAACAGCTCTTTTAGCAGTCCACTGCCCTTGGCATGGCACCTGTCTGTAGGAACCTGCCACTGTCCCATAGACAGCATGGGGCAGAAAGGGTGTATGTGCTCTTCTGAAAGACAACAGAAATCAAGAGATTGCTCTGCAGTTGCTTTTGTTTGAGAGGTGGAAGAGGTGTGAATGTAGAAAAATACCTCCTCTACATGATGATCACAAAGTGCTTGGATAGCTTGAGACTTACCCTGCTGCTTTACATATCAGCATACAGTGAATGGAAGAGGTGAAAGACTTTCTGCTTCTAGGAAGATATGTGTTATTTGATGTGACCTGCTCAGATGCATGTGAAATACTGGCAGCTTTGTGGTCTCTGCTGAGCATCAATAAATAATGTGCAGGATCAAGACTGACTGACTGCATCAGGAGCCTCATATCGAAGGCTGTGTTAGAAATGCTCAGCATAGCTCACAAATGCCTGATAGCATCATTTCTTAAAAAGTACAGGGCTTGTGAAGAGGGGTCAGGGAGCCTTAAGTATTTCCTATCAGAACTCAGTAGATTCTTGGCCATCTTCTCTTTCAGAGATTCCATGCTTCCTTTACTTCAGCTCTTGGTTAGAAAAATGCCAGCAATGTGATCTGCTTTGTATGTTGCTGGAGAAGCCTCACTTGTTAGCTGTGCTGCTATATTAAGCATGTGAGCAGCAGCTCCAACTTACCAGTTTTCATGAGCGGGCATTTGCTTTTGTTGATATGTTTACATATGCAATCTTCTATTTCCTTCTCGTATCTTATTTGTGAAGTTGTTTTGTTGTCTTCTGCCTGCTTCTGTACCCCCTGTCCTGGGTTTAAGCATGGATAGAGTTAATTTTTCTCCTAGTAGCTTCTTAGCTTTCTTCCCAACCTGCTATCTGTTTGCAGTTTGATGCCCTGGATAGAGCTGGATGGCGAGTACCTCTACTTGTCTCAAGCAGAGAACATCCAGGCCTACAGGCTCTGTCCCGATGGTACAGGTTTGCAGCGTCACCCTCAAGCTATCTTCTCTGGCCACCAGGAGGACGTATGTCGTTTTGTTCTTGTCAACTCTCACATCGTCAGTGGAGGGGGGTAAGTTGGGTGAATGAAGAAGCCCAAGGAGTGTGGCAGTGAAGTTGCAAAGGGTTTGTGTAACTCCAGCCCAGAGCAGAGAGGTCAGTCTTGCTACAGTGTCCTCATACTTGGCTGTGTTCAACTGCTGCTGCTTCCTCTCGTGATTTGGTTCTGTCCTGAAAAAGTTTCTACTACAGCAGTAGAGGAGCAGAGTCTTGTGCTGTTGACCTTATCAAGTGTCCTTTTCTCTTTTGAACTTGTGTATATATCCACAGGATTGTTGAATCAGGATTGACTGATTGGACAATCCCAGCTGATGTGCAGTTTTAATTTCTGTCCCTGTTAAGAGTCAGGATAGCCCAACAGTGTTCTGTTATTTGCAGTTGCTGGTTAACTCGGGCCACAGTGGCACATAGTGTACGTTTATTAGAAGTACTGGTATAATCGTGGAGAGGGGGAAGACTGCCAAGTATTCCAGCACACACACACACACTTCTCCAAGTAATTTTGTATCTGACTAGCCTTTTTCAGTTACAGCAAATAACAGAACTGTTATTTACAAAGTTTTAGCTATTAATATACATGGCACTTAAGCACAGAATTCAGAGATTCAGGCATGGCTGTCTGCCCTGGATATCTTGAGACTCTCCCCTGTGAACTGTAGCCCAAAATTCAGGTGAAAACAAACACATGCATTTAAAATTCCGGTAACTGTATTGGTTGAAAAAAAAGTCTAAATACCTTTCTAGTTAATTCATAGTGCAATACCTTGCACGGCTGCTCTGAAATGAATGAAAAGCTGAGGCTTGGACATGGGTGAGAATGACCTCTCACTTTTTCCCTTACTCCAGTCATTGAGCATCCAGCCAGGATTCTGGCAAGCTCAAAGCAGTAGGAGGAGGAATGGCTGCTCTGCTAGTTTCTGCAGCTTAACACCAAGTGGAGGGTGGAAAGAGAGCCAGGAAAATTTTCATGTGTAGCAGATCAGCCTTTGACTGGCCAGATGTGAGATGGTAAGAGAACAGGTGATGTGTGAGGAGTGGAGGGTTAATAATGCTGCATGAATTTCAGCTCCCGTGAGAGATCAGTCCTGGTCTTTTTGTGGTACTCCTAAGCCCTAATGGAAGGTGTATGTTCACGGGAGGTGCAGCTGATACAGACTCCCTTCCTGGGGATTTGTTTTTCAGAGATGGAAATATTGTCCTTCACAAGATCCATGGCTCCTACAGCATCAAGTTTTCTGCACATGAACAGGAGGTGAACTGTGTGGACTTCCAAGGTGGCCTCATTGTCAGCGGCTCCCGGGACAGAACAGCGAAGGTGAGCAGTGACATTCCAGCAGCTGCAGGTGCTGCTGCAGAGGTGACTTCAGAGGTCTTGTGCCATGAATGTTTAAGTGTCAGCAGAACCGTTGTGAGCCTTGTCTTGTGTGTCTGCAGGAGGAGTGCAGGGCATCTTGCTGAGGCTCAGGTCTCTGAAAAGATGCTTACTGTGCCAAGCTTTGAAGAAAGAGATTTGTCACTTCGTGACATCAGCTGCTGGTTTAAACTAGGAGGTGCAGAAGGCAGCAGCTGATGTTTTGCTTCTTTTGCTGTACATCTGTCTAACACTGCAGTGGAGATCCATGCAGGTAGTCTGAAATTTGTTGTATTTGTCTCAAGCACATCCTTGCTTTGTGATGCAGTTCTGCCTCACATGTTCTCTGTTGTATATTCAGTCTCTTTAAGGGATAGCATGATGTCTTTTCCAAATCTGGGGGGTTGTGGTTTATTTATTTGTGGTTTGTGGTGGTGTGGTGGGTTTTATGATTATTATTATTAGTGCTTTGGGTTTTTTTATTGTTTGGGTTTGTTGTTTTTTTTTTTTTAATCATTCTTGGTTTGCAAACCAGGAGTGAAGTTAGACTATGACTACTGTTAGCTCCCATTTTTCTCTTCCAGCTGGCGTCACTAATCCTATCACACAATTTTTGACTATCTATTTTTGAGGCAGGACCTTGTTGACTTTTGTCCTTCTGGATCTGGTTGGGAGTGTTCTATTCCTACATGGACCTGGGGAGTTTTTGTCCTGAGCTGTAACCAGCTCTGTTCTACTAGTTTAGGAAACTGTATGTAGGTGTCCTTGTTCTGCTTGCATGGTGTAACATCTTCACAACCACTTGTTTCATTGTTGGAAGTGGTTGCTGTATGTTGAAAACTTTGGCTGTTGCTGATAGATACTCTTGGCCCCTGGTACATACTGTAGAGTATTAATGGAGGAATTCCTGTTATTCCTGTTTTGCAAAAGGGGAAGGTGAGGCAAAGAAAGACTTAAATGTCTCTTTCAAAGATTTGTAAGTGTGGTAGTGGGCAACTCTCTGATGGGCTGCTGAGCATCATGACCCTATCTATTCTTGTTTTTCCCTCTGTATGGGTGTACTCCTGGGTAAAATCACTCCCAAGCAGAGCAGTGTTCAGATGCAAAGGGCACTGCTGGGGATGCTGCTTGTCTTTTGGGAGCAATGCCTTGATGCTGCTTTGTCTCACACTTAAGCAAGACTGCTTCACTATGTTCTGTGGAGCCTCTTTGCTGGGAGAGTGCCTTCTTGCTGCTTCCCTGGCAGCCAGAGGACAGACCTTCCCGACCTTGAGAACAAATTCCTGAAGGCCAGAGGGGAATTTAAGGCTGTTTTTCTTGGGGCTAGTGTGAGATCTTGCCCACCCAGTGCTTGCCACAGCATAGGCTCTAGGGATGCTCACTTCTTATTTTTTATCATCTCTTTTGTAGGCTGCCTTGTTTGCGTGAATGAAACTCTTGGAGGGTGGAAGGGAATCCCTACCAGCCTTTTAAAGGGGCTCTAAGTGTCTAAACTATTGAGGGCTCTGCTGAGTGTTGATTAGGACTAAGCCCTGAAGAGCTGCTAATGTACATTCCTGTGTGATAGGCACCAGATAGTGTGCTCTGAGCAATATTTTTAACCTGTAGGAGATAGGGATGCCTTAAAAGAGTTAAGCTTTTCTGCTGCTTTTGCTGACACTAGGTGCTAAATTCCCCGCTGACAAGAATAGCCTGCAATCCTGGGCATTATCAACAAACAAACAAATAGGGCACTCCCAGCTTTGAAGTCTTGAAGTAAAACATTGGGGGTGGGATGCAGAGAACTGGGGGTCTCCAGCCCTGTGGGCCAAGAATGAAGGCAAGGTGGAGAAAATGAGGGCCACAAACAGAGGTCCCAGCAAGAATCTGGGGCTGTTTATTAGGACTTAGAAACAAAGGGGTGTGTGGTGAACTGGTGGAAGGGGATGTGCATCTATGCACTCATGGGGGAGGGAAGACACTCTCATATTGTCAGTGGCAAGGGGAGTCTGAAAATAGCCTGAGGTACACATAAGAAACTTGGTCGAAAGGGAGTGGGTTTATAGAAAACTTATTTTACACAGTAGTGAACGATTAATTTTATAGATAATATGAATGGAGATTTTTCAGGGCTGGTACAAAATCTTCCCACACTGTTCAATTGAACAGCAACGATTTAAACTAATCCCACTTCTTGTTTATTTAACTACAGAAGATGATAAGTTGCTGTGGTGAGTGCTGCCCTAGAGAGCATGTGATGATAGGGGTGCTCACTCTGTTACCAGTGGGATGGAAGGTCATACTCATAAGCTGAATCTTTGTGTGACTTTTAAGTGCTTTTTTTCTGCAAGTAATTGAAGGCTTTGCTCCTCAGAAATAAATCATGGGAACTAGGGAGAGCATCTCAGGGAAGGTGAGTTTGGCAGCTTTTCCAGCACAACATTAAGTGTGCATCCTACCATCTGCACCTTCTGGGTGATGTGGCGTAACATGCATCTCTTTCTTTAGGTTTGGTCCCTGTCCGCGGGCAGAGTTGGGCAGTGTCTACATACAGTGCAGACAGATGATCGAGTCTGGTCCATTGCTATCAGCCCATTGTTAAGGTAACTGAGATCTCTTTATTCCCAATTTCCAACAGAGAGAAGTAGAGGATTTGGATAGGCTGTGTCCACACATCTCTCCAAGGAACCAGTGTGGTGCTTCCAGGGACTTGATTTGGGCGGAGGCTGATCAGGTGCTTGTGCCTGCAGTGGGAGCTCAGGGAGGACTATGTGGTCTTTGTTCCCCATAACAGTGGAGTGGTCCCCTCATAAAGAGGCTGTCAGAATAGCCCTAAGTTCCTGTTACTGTCTTAGGTGATACCTGTTTGTTCTTACTTGCAGAGCAACCTCTCTGACTTGCTAATTAGAAGGAATGAATGAGATCCTCTTGAGGTTTTCTGTGCTGAAAAGGTGCCAACTAGTGTTTCTATTCTCTGACAGAAGAGATGCCAACCATAAAGGTGCCCACCTGGGAGCCATGTGCAGTGGTTAGGGCTTGGTTTTCTTTGAGCATGTGGAACTGGGAAAGATTAAGTTGGAGTTCAGGGATGAAGTGTTCCAGCCTCTATTGCCTGTAGCCCTGTGCTTCTAGTATGGGCGTAATGCTACAACTACAACTTCTGCTGGTTGCTGCTCTAATGGAAGGTTTCTGTACGCCCAAGCTAAACTTCAGAGGCTTGTGCTCTTACAATGCAGCTCCTCTGGCTTCTGGCATCTTTCTTGGATATTCTGCTTGGATTTGTCCACAAATCATTTGTCCACAAATTTGTACCTACACTAGTGTCTTCTACAGTGTTTTTCAAAGTGCTCTCATTCTTGAAGTGAAAATCTGAGAAACTTAAACTCTCACTGTTAAAATCTTACACTGGCAGCAGCAATCTGTCTCTTCAGTTCATGGTTAAGCTGGTCTTCTGTGTGCAACAGAGATTCTCCCTCTTCCTTCCTCAAGGAAGAGGGGAGGAAGAGCTGCTGTTTCTGGCCATGTGCTGTCTGCAACTGATGAATTTTAGACTTGTGCAAAACCAAAGTACTTCCCACAACTGCTGTCCTCATTAGACTTCCAGGCTTGTTTTGCAGTCAGGAGAAACTTAGTGGTACAGACCTAATGGCATTATCAGGGAAATGACCCTTGAGACCTGCTATGATTTTGACATTCTCTTGTCCCATTGCTGTGATTGAGATAGTGTTTTTGAAGAAGTGCCATGTGCATTAATGCTGCTGCAAGCTGTTAGAAGCCCTCTGCTGTCTTCTGTGCTGCAAGGGCCCCTTTTCTAGCAGACAGGGTCTGGCTCGAGCACCATGGCTGGTTAAAGCCCAGTGGCATGCTGCTTACTGCTCCTAAGTGATGACCTACTGAGGTGGCCTCTTGTCAGGACAGTGTTCCTCTCCCTGGTGTGCACGCTTGTGCACACTCTCTGTCACAATATTTACCCACAGTCTCCTCGCACCCCTTTTCCTTGCTGCAGAGTGATAAATGGGAGGTGGTAGAACACCTACCCCATGGACAAGTGGGCTTAAATTGTGCACTCCTGTTTTCTTATGAGACTGTGGACTGTACCAGCCTCCCCTGTTAGCCCTCCCTACTGTCGCCCCCCATCCCTCTGTGTTTTGGGGGGGGGGACAGGGTGGGTGGAGAATTAGAGCCAATTAGCCACGTCATTAATTCTTCAATTTGACGGCTGATATAGCAGAGCCTGAAACACGCTGCTGACCTCGTATAATGGGAGCCCTGCTCCTTCACGTATGGACACTGGGAGAAGTTAATTAAAATTCCACAGAGAGAAGGTGTCGGCTAACCTATAAACCTGTCGCTGCTCAGAACAAATCACAGCCATCCCAGAAGAGAGAGAGGATCAGAGCAGGAGGGCATGTGGTGGGGGAGGGCCAGGGCAAGGGGCAGGGGAGATGAATTTTTCACTAATAGGTTTTATTGCTTGGTTTCTAATGAGGGTGAGTATCAAAAAGATAATATCTGGTTTCTAGCAAGGTCTGCTTTGGGGAGCTCTGTGATTTCTGTTTTACTTGCAAGAACCCATATATCACCCATATGCTTTCCCTATGCACTTGTGTGTGAAGCTTCTCCTCCCTTGCAGTCCCCATCCTTCTTGCCTGAGCTTCGATGCATTTGTTCCTCAGTGAGGCTGAACATGACCTATAACCTCCACTTCCTCCTAAACATCTGATGTGTCCTCCCAGTTCTCTCTTCTCACTTGTGCTGGTATAGAATGAGTGCTCTTCCATATGAACAGATAGTTCTGATGATGTGAAACTGCTATAGAATCAGGCTCCAACCACTTAAGTATTGTGGCCCAGTGTTGCGGAGAACCCACCACTGTGGACATGTATTGCTCAAGAATAGCCCAAAGCAGTTGTGTGCAGTAAGGCAGGAGCAGGGAGGGCTCCTTTACCTCTAGCTATTCAAAAGGGCTTTGGAGAGGCTGCGGCTTCCTGACCTGGAGGTTTGCCACTAAGACTTTCTAGAGTAGTCAGGGTTGTAGACCAGAACTTGCTTTTCAGTTATATCTTCCTCCATGTGAAGCTTACTCAGAAAGTATCCCATGTGCACCTGACTGCTGGGTTTTCTGCTGTAGTCCTGCTCTGCTGGTTGCTGTTCTAATGGAAGGTGTCTGCACACCCAAGCTAAACTTCAGAGACTTGTGGTCTTAATATGCAGCTCCTCTGGCTTTTGGCATCTTTCTTGGATATTCTGCTTTGATTTGTCCACAGTTTCCCTGTGTTAACTACAGAGATACTCTTATAGATATGCTGAGCTAAAGAGGAGGCTGCTTTGTTCTTGATGTAGTGATTGGTGGGCTGGATGCTTGGAGGGTCTGCAAGCTGAATGATGCCCATGAAGGAGATTAAGTAGGGTAAAAGGCAGTAAAAAGGTAGTACTGGATCTTCTCCTTTTACTGTGCAGGGGAGAACTGCACTTAGCCTTTTGTATAACCTTTTCAGCCATGGAAGTGCCTTGACATTCATGTGTGTTACTGGAGTGTCATTGCTTTGGGGATCCCTAACAGCGCCCTGCAGGGTAGTGGGGATAGGGTAGACATTGTGCTGCTTCTGGGTTTTCAAGAGGTCTTCTGCATAGCTGTGCTGGTTGATACACTTGGGCCAGCAGGTCCAGCATTGCTTGTCACATCAGGGACTAGAGAAGAGTCTGAGATCATATAGGATACTTAAAATAAGGGTGCCTCAACTTGTTCTGGTTTAATTGGTCTCCTTGGCTGTCCTCCGTGGCTGTACTTACAGAAAGGCTGTATACCCTAAACCATGTTTCTTAGCTGCTTGTAATCCCCTTCCCCCTGAGTTATTTGCATTCTGAGCCCTGCGTCATGCAGGTGTTAAACTTTCATTTACTGGTGCTTACTGCAGTGACTTATGTGTGCTCAGGGACCAGGGCAAGCCTGAGTGCAGTGGACCTATTCAAATGTGCAAAGTGAGGCAAACCCAGGGGTTTCTTTTGGAGTAGTGGCACCTTCATGCTTTGTGATTCCTTGAGGTGGCAGTAGCCAGGGAAGAGAAGTTACCACTGTACGTTGTTTAATTTGAGAGATAGGTTTATGGAGAGAATGAGGTCTAATTGGCTGGCATTTATGGCTGCAGAACCATAAGGCTTACTATATGTGTTGTGCTACTGAAATGTTCCTTTTTTTAGGGGAAAAATAGTTACAAGTTGTTGTTTGTTTTTTTTTTTTTCCCATAATGATAGAGAAGCTTTTAAAATGGACAGGGAAGGAAAAAGTGGACCTTGATGTTAAATTAATTAGTAATCTTGGATTCAGAAATTATTTGGTTTTGGATTAAAATAAGTATTCAGGTCTAAGATGGCTTCTCCTCCTGGGTCTGGCCACAGACACTTACTATTTAGATTTAAAAATACTTATCACGAGAGCTGTCTTCCCATGTTGTACGCAAAGTGTGTCAGATTTTAAACCAGTAAAAGAGATGACAGAGGCACAAAAGTGGTTTTCAATGTGCAAGTATACATAAAGAGCTAGGAAACCTTTGGTGCAATGTGGGGCAACATCAGGCAACCATGATGTGCCCAGCTGTGGCAGAGAGATGCTTTGGGTGTGTAAGCCCAGAAGATGGTCTCTCCTTTTCCAAACGCATCATTGGTTTACTGCAGTGACCTCTTGTGAATGTTGCTTTGGTGAACTGCAGGTTTACTCCAGAGAGGAGGAAAGCTTGTACCAAAGACAATAGCTATCTGCACTGAATGTTTAATGTAAAGGAAAATGAGTAGGTCTGTGAGCAGCTGAATTTAAAAAGCCAGGCTTGCTCTCTCTCTTTTGCTTATGCAGCATTGTAGTTGAGACCTGACTCCTGTTTTAACATGCTAATTTGTATCTCTGTTAACATAATTGCTTCTCCCATGGAATATTATGGGGAAGTAATATCCGGGGAGACCTCTGCCCCTGTGGACAACCTCAGACAAATTGTAAAACATACCCAAAACTTGCTGGGGAAAGGAAGGAAGAGAAGGGTTACTGACAGGCACCTTGACTGAATGGGCCTCTCTTCCACTGGGGACAATCAAAATGATTAATTCTGAGGGCTTCTTTTTAATGGTTATCTGGAAACTTTTTGTGAAAGTGAAACAATCTGATCTTGCAGATTGCATTAGCGCAAAACAAACCACTTGAGTCAGAGAAACTTTGCAGTAGTTTTAACTATAATTGAAGCCCTAATGTGTAGCAGTTAAAATGTTTTGTAATGTTCACCCCCCATTTCCTGCTCCACTTTTATCAGCAGATATCCCCTACTGCATATCAAGATGAGCTGTTGGCTGTAGTGATGCTCTGTTGTGACCTAGCTTTGCGCAGTTAACCTCTCTGAGTCTGCTAGGAGTTAGGATAAGTAACGGGTTTATTCTGGTTTGTGCATTGCCAGCAAAATACCAGGCAGCAATAGCGCTGCTGTCCTTGGGGATCCCTGTAGAGCCTGGTTGGTTTGAATAATTGAGAGGGGACTCTGACCTGCAGCTGTTTCTTAAGTAGGGGCAGGAAGAACCTGCTCAACTGTGAGATCCCAGGGTGGACTTGCAGAGTTAGTGG